GGTTCAAACCCACCAGCCACTCCTTAGAAACCCTATACACGGTTGCTATGAGTCAGAACTGACTCAATGGTAGTCAACTAAAATGAATTTATCATTCCTAAACAATCCTCTTTATCCACTGGTAACATTTGTGGCTCAGAAATGTATTTCGCCTGATACTGACGCAGCCACTCCAGCTTTCTGTGATTACAGTTAGTATGGTATATCTTTTCCAATACTTCTACTTTTCACCTATTTGTGAGTTTATTTTTTTAAAGTGGATTTACTGTGGACACATAGTTAAATCTGTATAGGAAACCCTTTACTGGGTCACAAAGAGTAAACTGACTCGACGGACCTTAGTAATATACATAGAGTCCGCCAGGATAATGTGCTAGACAACAAGGTCGGTTTGAACCACTAAGTCAGTGGCTCAAATCCACCAGCTGCTCCTTGATACCCTATACATGGCTGCTATGAGTCAGAACTGACTCCACAACACTAACAATACACACACACACACATATATACATTATTGTTGTTAAGTGCCGTCTAATCAGAAAAACCAATCAGTCGCTCCTTGGAAACCCTATACAGGGTCACTGTGTTGGAACCGACTTGACAGCACTTACCACACCACCACACACACCACTGCAATAAAGAGAGCTGCTCACATTTTTGGTTTCCCAGAGCACATAAAGTTACACTGGCACTAAGTGTGCAATAGCATGATGAAAACACTTTGGAATTTTCCGAGAGTGACCACAGTGGGGCACAGAGACCCAGAATGAGTGAGTACCCGCGGTTGGAAAGTGGTACGTGTTAATAGACTTGCTTGACACAGGGTTGCCACAGACATTCCATTTGTGAAACCCACCATATCTGCAAAGTAAAACAGAGCGCTTAAGGCGAGGTCTGCATCCACACATATCCATGTAAGCTGAAATGCTGACGTGTATCTGTGTTTGCATAGAGTGCTCATAACAGGAGTCCAAGTGCAGTAACAAGCCACAATTCTGACATCATCCACTTCACCAGTGCCAAGTCATCCTCCAGCAAACTGGGCCACCTGCTCGACATCAGCAGGATCAAGAAGTCAGAGGTACGTGTTACAACCAGTACCTGCAGTTAACAACAACTGCTTGGGATGCAGCAGCAAACAGAGTCCACTCTCTCCTGGGTTTTACCTGTTTACATGCTCCTGAAGAGAGACAACACACCAACAAAAGCACCCGTCCAAGGTATTTTCTCACTTAATGCCCCAAACAGCCTGCTGACTGGCCACAGAGAAGTTGCATCGGTAGTGGAGCCGGACTTTGTGGCCAGGTGGGGGGACTAAGAATTTACACTAGTTTCCACAATGCTAGTCAGTTTCACTTGTACCAGATACCTTAAGTGGTATGATGTGGAACGAAGGAAGTGAGGGAAGCTCTTTGGATGAGGTGGAGGGAAGTAGGAAGTAGCCTGGTAAGTATCTGCAGGCTGACCGACATGTGCAAAAGGCCCTGAGGTGGAGTGTGTCTGGGCTGTTGAAAGAAGTGTAGCTATGAGTGTGGCCCCAGTGGAGCAGGCCAGGGAGATGCCTGAATGAGACAGTGGGGACAGACCAGGAGGTGAGACCTGGCGGTTACCTGGATGAGTTGGATGGCCATCTTGGCAGGGTCACCAGGCTGATTGTGGCTGTGGGTCGACACACCAAGGAGGAAGTTTTAGGCCAGAGAAGATGGGAGTCCAGGTGCTCCAAAAGTGGGGCTTTGAGTGGAAAAGATAAAATGGAAATGATCTTAAGATTGGTGCTCTGAGTCACAAGCAGAACAGAGTTGCCGTGACGGGCAAGACTCAGGGAGGAACAAAAAAAAAAAAATTTTTTTTTTATGGGGTAGAGAATTAAGGAACCGGTTTCAGACATGTCTAAATCATAGACAGAAATGGTGGTGCAGTGGTTAAGCGTTCGGCTGCTAACAAAAAAGATCAGCAGTTTGAACCTATGAGTTGCTGTGTGGGAGAAAGATTCCAGACTTGGAAACCCTTTGGGGCAGTTCTGTACTGACCAGTAGGGTCACTATGAACTGACTAGATGACAGTGTGTTATTGTTATGTGGTAATTAAAGCCTTCTAAACATGAACATCCCCACACCACTACCAGATGCCATAGAGTTGGCTCCGGTGAACTGGGGTGTGTCATGGTAGAACTGCGTCCCACAGGTCTTTTGATGACTGAGTTTTCTGTCCTCATTTCCCGTGTTTGCAAACTCACCTACTCATTAAGTCTGAAGTCCTAGCGTTTCACAGTTTAATGGCTGATTTTTCATTAGTTTATCACCAGGCCTTTCTTCCAAGGTGCCTCTGGGTGAACTTGATTTTCTGGTCTTTCTGTTAGCATGGAACATGGAAACATTTGCACCACCCAGGGTCCCCAGTTAGTTGCCTACAATAAATATTCTCTCAACAAGCCCAGCAAAGGTTTCCAAATCTTTAGGTTTTTGGGGGGAAGGTGTTCCGTAGGCACAATGGTTTGGGCAACCATATCCTAAGAGTACAAGTATCAGCATTTTATGCAGGGTAAAACCAACAAGTACGCTCAAAGAGAACAGGCACATTAAAGCTTACCTAATTTGAGTTCTGGTGTGGGGCTGTGGATTAATGCGTCAGACTGGAAAGCCATTTTGAACTGCAAGGTTGGCGGTTCAAGCTCACCAGTCACTCCTTGGAAACCCTATGCAGGGTCGCTATGGGTTGGAACCAACTTGATGGCACTTAACAACAACATTAACAATCATTTATAAAATAAAAAACTCATCTTCGTCCATAATAGTGAGACACAAATATTTTGCTTTACGATTTTTTTTTTCCTATACACAAATGGCCAAGATCAAGAAGTCTGTAAGTGAAGAAAAAGTTTCCAGAATGAGTTTTAAACTTGGAGGAAAAGACATTTCCCATTTTTCATCTCAAGTTGGTGAGTATCTTAACAGACTCTTAGTATTTGCAAACCTTTACTTTCAAGCGTATAGCCCTCCTGCTGTGGTGTCAATTCTGACTCATAGTGACTCTAAGGGACAGCATTGAACTGCTCCATAGGGCTTCTGACACGAGCAGAAAGCCTCATCTTGCTCCTGGAGCAGCTGGTGGGTTTGAACTGCCAACATTGTGTTTTGCAACCCAGTGCTTAACTAATTTTGCCACCAAGGTTCCTTAATGTTGTTATGTGCATGTTAAGCGCCACCGAGTTGGTTCCAACTCACAGCGATCCTGTATAGGGTTTCCCAGAAGCAGCTGGTGGGTTTGAACTGCCATCCTTGTGGTTAGTAGTTCAGTGCTTATTTTACAGCACTATAACCGGGCCCTTCAAAGGGCATAAGGTCTATAGAATTTGATCACCATCTCATTTTACAAAGCTGCTTCCAATTCTCTGGCTGGTTTGATGGAGTTAACTTTCAAAGCATTATCTTGCTGAGTTGAACCAACCCTCACCCTGTCAGTGCTCCCTCCCCCTGGGCTCTAGTGCTGTCCGCCCTCCACCCCCACCTGACAGGGCTCATCTTATTGTGCTTTGCAGATACGCTTTCTTTCACAAATGGAAGGTTTGTAGCAACCCTGGGCTGAGCAAGTCTGTGGAAGCTATTTTCCAGTAGTGTGTGCTTACCTTTATCTTTATGCCTGTGCCCCATTTGGCTGTTCTTGCAATATTTCCAATGTTTGCTATTGCGCACTGAAAGAGACCACGGTAGAGTGTGCAGGTAACTTTTATGTGGACGGGAAGTCCTTTATGGCCACACTTGCTGTGTGAGCTCTCTGAGGTCCACCTGCATGCCCTTCCAAAGCCACCTTCTCCCTTGAAAGTCGCATCCCCTTTGCTCTGGCTAAAAACAGCAAGCAAACCCTTATTCATCCCTTGTATAATCAGTAGCTATTGAGTTGATTTCTACTCACGGTGACCCTGTGTGTGCAGAGTAGAGATGAGCGCTCCATAGTGTTATGAAGGAAGTACATCCTCAGGCCTTTCTTCCTGAGTGAGTTCAAACCACCAACCTTTCAGATAGTAGCCGAGCACGTAACTGATTGTGTTACTCCGGGGCTAGTGAAAACAACAAGCAGCAAATTCTGATTCAGTCCCCTGGTACTCCTCTTCACATCACTCCTAGAGTGGCCCATCTGTCCCTGCAGACTCTCATTTCCTCACCTCCCGCTCAACTCCTCAGCAAGCCACTGTGGCTCCAGGTCACTTTCACTACCATTAGAAGTGACAGTGTTGTGTGCTGCGTCAGAACTGACTTAACGGCACCTAACAATATAACCTCCACTGCTGATTCCCACGCATGGTGACGCCAGGTATGTAGAGTACGGCTGTGTGCCACAAGGCTTCCAGTGGTTATATTCTATAGTAAGTATAACTGTGCGTACTGACTGCACTGCAGAGACTCCTTCCTTCCTCCTCCAGGTCACCCAGAGCTTCTGTGCCGGACCCCACCCTACTGGCCTCCTTACAAACACCCCTCTCTTGAGCGTCCGGGGCCTAACAGGCTCCTGGTGCACCCCCTTTGCTGGCAATGCTGTCTGTGGGGGACTTGCTAAATGGTGAATTCCTCAAGGCTGTCTCCTCCTCTCAAAGTGGCCATGGGAACCCACGTGCTGTGCTCTCCTACAACCAATCACTGCAATCAAGTTGATTCTGACTCACACATATCCCAGATTGGGTTTCTGAGACTCAATCCTTAAGGAGCCGACAGCCTCATCTTGCAGTCCAACACTCACCTCCTGCCTGCCTCTAGCACTCCTTTCCAGTACAGAAAGCTGGCCTTTACAGCTTGGCCCCCTCAGGGAGCTGCTTGAGCTCTCAGCTCCCCTTCACTGAGGAGCTTCTTGCAAAATTGTGTGCACAGGTCTCCTCCGACCCATCTCCCATTTCTCTTGACTTTTCTCCAAGTGGGTGCTGGCCTCACAACGGTGGCTCCTCTTCATCAACAGTGAACTTATGCTTTGTCTCCTCTGATAAGCCTGCCCCACCAGGCCATCTCTCAGAGTTGTGAACACCATTGTTGTAGTAAAGTGCCATCGAGTTGATTTCGGTTCATAGCAACTCCACGTGACAGTCGAACTGCCTTGCCTCCTTGTTTTCAGGCATTTCAGGAGTGCATAAATGAAAGGCACATGTCAAATCATTTGTCCCAGAGAAGTTCCTAGCTTAACTATAGCTTAATCTGAGGGTGGAGAATGGCACAAAATATGGGGTCTTACATTTCTTCTCTTTTGTCTATCCTGCCTACTCCTACTCCAGTGGAGTGAAGATTCCACATAACTCTGTCTTGGGGCCTTTCGTCTTCCATGTTTAACATACAAAAGGGCTATAGAAAGTCTGTGGGAAAATTCCAGGATCTTTTCCTTCCGTTTTTTCCACCTTTTTGAAAGCCTTCAAATCTTAAGGACACCACGAAATGATCAACAAAACTGATCTGGAAAGCTTTAATTTCCAGTGAAGGAATACAGCAAGTATTATTTTGGAAAATGAAAATAACTCCATAAACATAAAACTTACTAATTTGTAGCCTGAAGTGTAACATTTGGCACCAACTCAAAGCCTGCAGCACATCTGGAAGCTGCCTCAAAATCCAATGGCAAGGATGATAGTGGATTACATCACTTTGATGAAGGAGGAGACATGCCTTGTAAAGAAGGACAAGGTATGTCGAATATCATCTAACCATGTGAAAAAGAAAAACAGAACCAACAGCACTGTACCCACACAACAGACACCCACCAATCATGAAGACTCTGCTCTTCCAAATATTTCTTGGAGAAAATCAAATTGCATTTCTAAGAACATTTAGGAGATTGAAATAGCTGAACCATGGCCAAGCTATCACCAAAGAAAATTTCCATCATGAAATGTTTTCATTAGTAAGTGTAAGATGTCGTATTAAGCTAAAACATTCTTTAGCCCCAGAAGGTCAAAAGTAGAATAACAAAACAAAGGAAAGCAAGAGAAAGGCATTCACAAAATAAACTCATAGATTATGTATTGGAAAACCAAAACAGGACAATTGATTGTTCAAAAAAACTAGTTCTTAAGTACAAAGATAAGCAAACTAGGCACCCTCAACCTAGTGTAATCATAAACAAACTGAGTAAGCATACGTAGGCTTATTATGAAGGGAAAAGTGGACACCCACAGCTGAACTTTCCTTGTAAATACAGTGAGTGAATGCTGAGTATAGTGCTACATTTGAAACACTGGAAACTAATTTCAAATTTTCTCGCAAGATGGTAATAACAAAGGTAGAACCAATGACCTCAGGGAATGTTACTTCTCAGAACAATGGATCATATGAGATCAAAATGGCAGTGTTTGCCCCCAAGCAAAGTTGAGAAGAGCAAGACAGGACAAATGGAAATGGATGGAAATGCCTTTGAATTATGGTGCTGGTGAAAAATACTGAATATGAGGGCTTCAAAAAGTTGATAGAAAATTTCCGTTATCTTTTACCTCCATTTTCCCATGATCTTTTTGAAGCCTCCTCATATACAACAGAATATCAGAGGAACAAGGCGCTCTGATATCATAGTGGTTACGAATCAGGCTGCTAACCTCAAAGTTGGCAGTTTGAAACTGCCAGCTGTTCCATAGGAGAAAGATGAGACTTTCTGCTCCCGTAAAGATTTACAGCCTCGGAAACCCTGTGCAGGGTCACTATGAGTCGGAATCGACACCACGGTACTTAACAACAACAGAACTTGAGTTACTAAGGACTTTTTTTTTAAAGTTACAAACATTTGAGATGACACTGTGCCCATTCTCAGCAGCTCCCCAGGTCTAATTTATAATGCATCAGACACACCTATTTTACCTATAAAGCAACCATCCCTACCACAGGTTTAGAACATCATTCCAGAAAGTTCTCTTGTGCTCCTTTGCAGCCAATTCCATTCTCATCTCTTCTCCCAAGCAACCAATTTTCCACTTTCTCTCCATGGATGTACCTTTCCTAGGCATATCCTAACCTAAGGAGCCCTGGTGGCAGAGTGCTTAAGCGCTCAGTTACTGACCAAAAGGCCAGCAATTTGAATCCACTAGTACAGGGTCGCTATGGGTCGGAACCGACTCGACGGCACTTAACAACAACAAGCTGCTCCAAGGAAAATGATGTGGCAGTCTGCTTCCGCAAAGATTCATACCCTTGGAAACCCTGTGGGGAAGTTCTACTCTGTTTATAGGGTCGTTGAGTCAGAATTAACTTCACAGCAATGGGTTTTGGTTTGGGATGTATCATATGAATGGAATAATATACCATGTTTTTAGAATCATATAAAAGTCCTCTGCATCGGGCTTCCTTCACTCATAATTATGTTGAGGTTCATGCATGCTGTAGCATGTATTTCCTTTTAGTTGCCAAATAGCATTCTGTTGTATGGACACACTACATTTGTGTTGTTTCCACTTTTTGGTGATTGTGAATAAGACACCTATGAACATTCATGGATAAGTCTGTGTATGGACAGATGTTTTCATTTCTCTTGGGTATGAACCTAGGAGTGGAATTGCTGGGTCATACGGAGTCCTGGTGAGGCACTGTAGGGTAAGCACTGGACTGCTAACTGCAAGGTTGGTGGTTCAAACCCACCAGCCACTCCTTGGAAATCCCATACAGTATGGCTATGAGCTGGAACCAACTCAACGGCACTAAACAACAATGGCAAACTCAGGAATTGCCAAATTCTCCAAACTTGCTGGGACCATTTTAGACATCAGTAATATGTAAGGGCTAGTTTTCCCCTATGCTCTCCAACTCTTAGAACATCAGTTTGAAAAATCTTTTTTGTTGTTGTTGTTGTTGTTACATTGAGTCCTGAGTAATGGTCTTCTTTATGAGACCCAAGTTTTGCAGATCTTTTGTCTCAGATGGTGACTTGTCATCTTTGTAATATGTAAGGAGGTCATTGGTCTTTGCATATGTGGTTTTTGGGGAAACAGTAAGCAAGCTACTGAGGCCTAACCGTACTAAGTGCCTGTACTCCATACATCCACGTATCATATGTATAGTCTTCAAAACATGACAGAGAAATTGCAATGAAAACGAGGGCACTGAGATGTTAGCTTGCTGGCAGAACACAGCTAGGAAGTGGCAGAGTGGGGTCCCTGAGTTTAACACGTTTGGCCAATAATGATATAGCACCCAGAAGCCCGAGGCCGGGCATCATGTACCTTCTGGTGTAGCTCTCTTGTCCCAGGCCTTGCGCCGACCACAGGTTATGTTCACACTCTGGGACCCAGGAGTCCATGTGGGAAGCATACACACACAGGTTCCATTAAACCTGGTGCTGCAAAGTTGATTCCAACTGCTAGTGAGCCTCCAGGGCACAGCAGAACTGTTCTATGGAGCTTCCAAAGCTGGTAATCATTAAGAAAGCAGACTACCTCATTTGTCTCCTTCTAAGCGGCTAGTGGGTTTGAACCCTCAACCTTTCAGTGAGCACCCCACTACAGCCCCCAGAGCAGGATCCATATGTTCTTATACAGTAGGAATGACATCAAATTTCTTCCTGTTACTCTTCCACATGGGCTGGTGGCTCCCGGGACGGAAGATAAAACCAGGGGGAGGATCGTTCACAGACTCCTACTTTCTGCAGCAGCTGTTCCGGTGGAGTCGCCCGAGCTAGAACCTTACAGTTAAGGCTGTGGTCTCCCAAGATCCCGGGTCCTGTGGCTACCGCAGAACTACCCAAAACATTACCTTCCCAGAGTCAACGATGGTAAACATTTTCCAAACTGAGCATATTTTGGCCTTCGTAAATGAGATGCAGGACCGCAGGTGGTACAACGGTTAAGCACTTGGCTGCTGATCCACGGGTCAGGGGTTCAGACCCTGACTCGGGTTATGGGAGAAGACTTGGCGATTTGCTTCTGTAAAGACAGCATGAAAGCGAGAAGCAGCTCCTTGCCAAGTCAGTCACGTTCCGTTTTCAAAGTTAAAATCTTGTAAATATTATTTTTAAATGAATACAGGTTTAAAGATGGGCGCAAAAATGGTCACAGCAGTGATGTGCTACGCCATCTCTGACCCATGTCATGTGGTCAGTTTCCTCATCACAGGCCTGTGAGGGACAAGGGCACTCAGAGGGTTAGATGTCTTCTCACTAAGTGCAGATGTCGGCACTGACAGCTCAACATGGACCCCACAAGTCCTGGGGGCTGGTGCTCACAACTGTTTTGATTGAACTCTATTCCAGACAAACGTGAAAAATCCAAGGATGACCAGAAGGAAAAACTGAACATGTGGGTCACCCACCTGTATGTTTTCTTTGTGAACACGCTCTTCCAGGCGTTCAAACATGAAGAGATGCTGAAGGAGAAGATAAAGGAAAACAGGCTACGTGATGACACACTGGCTCAACAAAAGAGAGTCGAGAACGATGAGCTGGAAGCCAGGTGACTTTAACAAAGCCCAAATCCTGCCTCCTCCACGAGCTCGGTTTGCTTTCTCTCTGGTTTTCTGTAGCTGCCGGAAGCATCCAGAGAGAGTGGGGCCATTATAAATACACAACTAAGGTTGTCCTAAGGGAGCTCTGGTAGTGTAGTTATTAAAATCGGGCTGCTCATCTCATGGTCAGCAGTTTGAAACTACCAGCTGATCCACGGGAGAAAGATGAGGCTTTCTGCTCCAGTAAAGATTTACAGCTTTAGAAACCCTGTACAGGGTCGCTATGGGTTGGAACTGACTCCACAGCACAGAACAAGAAGAAGGTTGTCCTGGCCTCTGACGGTTCTGACAGGTGGTAATTCCCGTGAGGAACCCTGTCTGTATCTAGCTCCTCTCTCCAGGTAGGCTGAGGTGGTGACGATGTCTGTGAAGAGATGTGGCCCAGCGTATGAGCTGCAGGCCTCTGCTGCCTGAGTTCAAGTCCCAGCCCCGCCACTGAGCATGTGGGTGACCACAGACAAGTTCCTTCAGTTTCCCCAGCTCTAAGATGGGGACACAAGAGTCGGCATAGACTCGAGCCAAACTCATTAGATTCAAGGGTGAAGTGACCTAATAAGGAGCCCTGGTGGTATAGTGGTTAAAGCGCTAGGCTGTGAACTCTGAAAGGTGGTTTGAGCCTTCCAGCCACTCATCAGTAGAAAGATATGGCCATCTGCTCCACAGAGATGGCAGCCTAGAGAAGCCCACGGGGCTGGGTATTTTGGGTGCAAGTGAGCTGGTATGTGCATAGCTTCCAGAACAGTGCCCGGCACACGTTAGCAGCAGGCAGTGCTCGGGTCTCCCTGACAAGCCAATCCAGAGCCTGCTGGCCTACTGAATAGATAGAGCGAGCACACTGTATCTAAGGAAAAGCACTGCGGAGCTGCTAAGTTCTCACAGAGCAAAGTGGCTCATGGGTCACTTTAGATCCAGGAACATTTCATTTCTGTCTAAACAGAGCATCAGTGTCCCCAGGTAGTGTAATTAAACACTTGCCTACCTGAGATTGGAGGTTTGCGCCTACCCAGAAGTGACCTGTAAGGAAGGTCTGGCAATCCATGTCTAAGAAAATCAGCCACATGGAAAACCCAGTGGAATATAGCTCTGCTCTGAGACACACGGGGTTGCCATTAGTTGGGGTCTTGATGGCAACCAGTTGTTGGTTTAGATATAGCATTGCCTTTTATTTCAAGCAAAAGGGTTGGTTCCATTTACAAAGAAATTTCAAGTACAGGTGTGGACTGGTTTACATTCTGTGCAACATAAAAACAGGTTTTGAAATTTTAAGGAGAAACAAAAGATACTTTGCTTGTGTTTGCTCTTAGGTTGAATATCTTGAGAGAGGAAGAGGCCAAAAGACAAGACTATGATGTCGACATCACTGTGATAAAGGAACCGATAGATGCCTCCTCCTCACTCTTGACCCCAAGCCCTCCTAAAGAGGACACAGGGGCCCAGACCAGCAAGTCCTTGACCAGTAAGAAAAAGAAAAAGTAAAGGCTACATAGTGACACATATCAGTCTCAAGAACTAGCCAATGGATAAGACGCTGAGAACCACAAACATGGGGACCAACTTGACTGACCAATAAAATCGCCTGTGTTTTATGTCTTACTTGGTTATTTTTTGATTTACTGCTACCATGGCCCATTTCGGTTCACGTGTTCTAGATGGATGAAGAGCCCTGGTGGCTCAACGGTGAAGCACTCACCTGCTACCTAAGACTGGCAGCCTAGGAAACTCTGGGGCGGTTCTCTGCTGTCCCGTGGGGTCTCTAGACACATGTGTAGGCCACTGGAACTGCAGTTTCAACGCTGAGCAGAATGTGTGTACTAAAGGAGCGTCTGTGAAATGTACAAGGGGGATTCAATAAGTTTGTGGGGAACTCTATTATCTTTTAATTCCACCCTTTCCACAAACCTTTGGGAGCCTCCTCATATGTTTTAAGAAAACCAAAGTCTAGTTCTAGTGATAAGTTCAAAAGAAAGCAAGCTCTGGACAATGTGTGATGAAACATTTCTTCAGACACCTGTACTTTCTGTGCCAGAAACATCGTCTCTACTGCCAACCACTTGAGTTCAGCCCTGCCTGTCTCTCCAACTACCCATGTCCAAACCTGTCCTCAGCTACCACCTGTCCATCTGTGTAGTCCAACCTTGCTGGTCTCTTAAACACCACATGTCCCTCTAACGTCCTGCATCCGAACCTGCCTGTGCTCGTATACCTCCTGTGCCTCTGTGGTCTGAACCTGCCTGTCTCTCCAGCCACCCATATCTGAAGCTGCCTATCCCTCCAACTACCCACATCCAAACCTGCTTGTCCTCCAACACCACATGTCCCTCTAACCACCCACACATTAACCCAGTCTGCCCCTCATATGCCACCTATCCCTCCAACCACATGCATCTGAACCTACCTGTCCTTACATATTGTACCCTCGGTCCCTCACCTACCACCTGCATCTCCCCTCCGTCGCTACCACCTCTAACTTGGCCCTTTCCTTGGGCCTCTCACACAAATCCCCACAGCACTGCTCACTCTGTTTAAAAAAGACAAAACACCAACAGTAACTCTGAGCAGCAAGAAGATGAGGAGCAGCGGGTTATATGAACACATGGAGTCTCTGTTGGAAACTTTGATCATTCATAGCATGTTGAAACATCAGGGTCGCCAAAGAATAAAAACACAATCTCTTAACTTCTAAACTAGCAGGAGGAATACAGATATTTATCAATTCAACAAAAGGCTGGTATAAAAGCACAAAACAACAAAGGAAAATGATAAACAGAAACACAAGCATGTGGGATGTGTGCAAATGTATCCGTCACCATCAATGTAAGCTGATGAGATGCACCTACCATTCTCAAAAACCAAACAAAACCAGAGATCATTGATTTTATCAGCCAACATTTACCTAGCTACTCTTTAGATCAGAAACATCTTACATATAACCACACAGAGAAGTTTAAAAAAAGAAAAAAAAGACAGAAAAAGATGTTCTAGGAAAATGAAATTTAAGGTAACTGGACTAGCAAGCAATATTAACAACATACAAAAATGAATTTCAGGCAAACGTTTGCATGGTAGAGCTAAAAAAGAAGATAATTAAGAGCCAACCAACAGGAAGAAACAGCATCCAACTACAGTGTAAACGTCAGCCTTGTAAAACGCTGTGATTACAGGGAAATAAGGAGCTCTGGTAGCGTAGTGGTTACGAATCGGGCTGCAAGCAGCAAGGTCAGCAGTTTGAAACTACCAGCTGTTCCGCGGCAGAAAGATGAGGCAGTTTTGCTCCCGTAAAGATTTACAGCCTCGGAAACCCTGCACAGGGTTGCTATGAGTCGGAACCAACTCCACGGCACATAACAACAACAACAACAACAACAAATCATCACTAGGGAAAGAACAGATCAGGAGGATAAAAAATACGAAGAGTTAAGTAGCAAAATGAACAAGTTTGAACTAATACGTAAATAAGCATACTTCAGTTTACCGCGCTTCATGGATTCTGAGTGTTATACGTACTGAAGGTTTGTGCCACTCTGCATCCAGCACTTCTACTGGCATCGTTTTCCCAATAGCATGTGCTTACTTCACATCTCTGTGTTGCATACTGGTCATTCCTATTACCTTTCAAGCTTTATCTTCATAGACGGCAGTCTGAGGTAATCATAACGTTTATTTGCACTGGGAAACCAAATGTGTGTGCAACTCGCTTGGGGGTGACATTTGCTTGACTGCAGTGGTCTGGAACTGAGGCCGTGCTATCTCCAAAGTCTGCCTACATTCAGAAACCAGAATGTGAGAAAGAACAGTCTCTGACCACATTTTTGGTTTAGAAGTGCAACAATTTCCAAGGCTCCATTGTAGACCACGATCTCCGTACAGTCCAATCAGTTAGCAGTCGACAAAGAACACATGAGAGTCAGTAGTGCCCAATAAGACTGGGAACAGATTATGGGGTATTAACGTGTGGGTTAGCAGGAAATCACAGTGAACTTGTGAACAGTTCAAGACTGAATGGCAAGGAAGCTACTACAAACCATTGTAAAGTCTGTCCTTGGATGGCCCATGAAGGTTCAGAGGAGGGGTCTACTCTTCAGGTTGGGGTGCATCCAGTTATCTAGAACACTTGAAGTCATCACAAACACTCCTGGCTGCTTTTCATTCCAACATTGGGATGCTAGGATTGCCAGAAGCCAGGGGAAGTGGGGTACAGTTCACCCAGACGTCACATCGCCTATAAAGAAGGCACATGGAGTTACATACAGATGCTTAGAGTTCTACCGAAACACTTACCTTTACACCACAGGTGGGACATTCTCAGGAAGTAGTTTGGGGTTTATATCGTCTAAAATCTCTTCAGTATTTATGCCAAGAAGTCTAACCATGATTTTGGGCCCATGACACTCCTTATTCACCACTTCAAGTCTAGTGAAGACAGGGGAAGGGACCCCAGCTGTGAGACATGACAAGGGCTAAGAGACAGAGGGGGGTTACAACCCCAGGTGTGAGGCAGGGACCAGCCACCAACAGGCAACGGGAGACAGACAAAACGCAAAATCAGATTTTTAAAAACTTTAACAATTTATTAGCCTTATTTCCCAGTAAAATATTCACATAATGTCAAAAGGATGGAATGGTAAGAGATGGCGTAGGCTACCTTGAATTCCACATAAATATTTAAAATCTAAAAATCTCCGGGAGCCTCAGTTTAGAAACTGAGTAGAAATCGGATTCTTTCAAGCAAGTATTGCTTTACTCTTGTCGTTAATCCAGCCACCAAAGAGGCAATGGTAAACCAAAGGTTGGCTAAGCTAGAGATCTTTCCAGGGACCCGCATCTCAGTCAATCCAAGAAAAATATATTATTGAACTGTGTTGCACAAAGCTTCTTGACTTCTTCTGCAAAAGAAACAGAAAAAGACAATGAGTAAGAAATCGTGAAAATCACTAAAAAGATTCTGTAGTAACTATTGTCCCTTCAACTCTTCTGGAATAGATACTCGTAAATGAAGATAAACACACATAACACATGTCTACATTGTTTTGGACCTTAAATCTCTAAAGCCTAGGTAAGAAATGTTAACAGACACAACAGAAAAGATCAAAAGAACAAACCCGTGAGACTTCAATATAATTTAACACACTGAACCAAAGCTTCTTTGGGTGCTGAACAAACCTTAAAACCAAGTACCAATGTGGCTAAGACATCTGTGTGTTAGGGGACAGGGAAGTCAGAATCTAAAATGCAGTTATTCTTGAAAAATCAGATGTGTCAACACAAACACTCTACTCATAAGCCTGAATTGGACATCAAATGATCTCGGGAGGTACAAATTATCTTGATTTTATCAACTTTTATATCAGGTACATATCTACTTGATATGATTAAAATATATAATTATTAATACAAGTTTTACTGCCAAGAATGATACTGCTACCCATAAAATGTCCTACCCATATAAAATGTTTTAGAAGATACAAGAGAAAAAAAGGTTCACACCTAACTGTGTACAGTTTGCATTTAGATGTGTTTCAAATCCACCCCTCCTTACTCCTTGTCTACAAGTAAGGCCGCAAAAGGGCCCACGGGAAGGCGGGGCCACCATTTTCTCCATGGCAACAAAGTTGTAAGGATCACAGGCAAAGCAAGTGTTCTGATCACACAGAACACTGGAGGCCAAGACTGACAGCTCTGGATGAAAGAAGGAAGAAAAATTCTACAGCAGTATACTGCTGCTGTGCCCCAGGTCTAGTGAGAACCTGCCCTAGGAGCCTGGTAGCTCTGCATACAAATGATATATTTTGATCACAATAGGAAACATTTAAAAGGACATTCTTATACATAGTAATGTAAAGCCATGGGATTTTTTTTTCTTTTAGCACTGTTTTAGAAAAACATTTTTTCTTTTTCTTTTGACCATTGTCAAGTTTCCTGTGCTTACTTCTTCTGCTTCAGCGAAGTTTGCCTAATGCTCTGCTACAGGAAAGCATGCCATGGATTAAATGCTGGTGTCCTTATCTGTTTGAAACCTCAACCACAATGATGTGTGCTATTTACATTTCTTAATACACTGAAAAGACAATTTAAACAAATAAACAACACCAGTAGCATTAAAATTCTGCTCAAGTACCAAATTCCATTTACCATTTACTTCAATCAGGTTTGCATTTTTTTGGTTCAAAATAACATATAGCTCCCGCTGATCAGACTTTTTCCCAACAACCCAATAATCACTCATCGCTTTCACGATAATTTCTTCATCTTCATCCACTCTGTAAGACAAGAGTTTCAAAATGCAATTGTTTAATAGATGCCGCAACCAAACTAGGGAAAACAAACATTCTACACCAAAAGTTGGGGAAGCTGCAATCACTAGCAAAGTTTGGTGAGTCGGCCGATCACATGTGAGTGGCCAGTCAGTCGTGAGTTGACTGGCTATGGTGCCCATGAAGACAGTCAAGCTCAGTACTTGAAGCGGGGCTTTGGGTCCCTTGGTTTTGAAAGAGATGCCTTGAATGGATCCTTTCTGACTAGGAGAAGGTACAGCTGAATCAAGGAGTTGGGAATATTACCTAGTGAAATCACTGTTGATGTCACCTAGAATCTTCATGAGATCTGGATGAACGGACGTAAGTGACACACTGGGTGTTTTCCTCATGTGAATTGTACTTTTCTCGGCTAAATTCATGTGGTTGAAGTAGATAAATTTAAACTGGGGTTCTTTTTCAGACCTGTGGAACGGGGGGAGGAAATGTCAATGAAATTGTAGATCCTGAAAAGGTAATTATCCAAATGATACAAGTATTTTGTTAACACATTAAAAGCCTGCAGTACACAGTGAATGATTCAGTAAGGCTCTTGGACCCAAAGTCTTTGTAACTTCCCCCAAACGACTTTTTCCCTGATGGGTCTGGCAAACAGAAGACAAGGGAAGGTGCTGACAAAGATTCTGTTGTGAGTGGTTACTAACAGTTCATTTTGATTGTTGAACCCTAGGAATCTAACATGGGCATAAAAAGCATCATCTCAGAAGCAGGAGGGGGAATCTCACTACTATAAAAGAAGAGCCTGAAGTGGAGCGTGTCCTTTTGACCCCAAGATCCCTGTGCACTGAACCTCCTGGACCCAGGGACAGAAAGTTGTGACACTGAGATAGAGTGGCGAGCAGCAGCAGAAGAACCAGGGCCAGAGTCCGAGGCAGGGTGGCAGACTTCCCAGTAAGTAAATGACATCAGGTAGTAGGTTCATTCGTGGAGTGGCTGCCTGCAGGCACTCAATCATGGGAGCTAGGTGTGCTGACTCATGGAGCTAGAGCGTAGTGCCTTTGGATTGAGATTTATAGGGGAGTGGAATGCCCTTAGAACATTTATCAGCAATCCTGAAAGAGCAGCTGGTGGGGTTTGAACCACAGACCTTGTGGTTAGCAGTCAAGTGCTGATCTTATAGTACCACACCAGGACTTCATACGCACATAACTCTAGCAAAAAGCCGAAACGACTTAATATTCCTAATATCTGTATTTCTGAATTGTTCAGAAAATTAATGGCAATAAATTATGTTTAAAAAAGCAAAAATGTGAAAGATTTCAAGTAGAAAAATAATCAAGGTCCTCTTCATATTAGTAGACACCAAAGCCCAAACAAGTGTACTGCATACCATTCTTTATAGGGTTCGTTTCAATTTCACAAGGAACTTATCATACTAAATTTATGAACAAAGGTTAAACCCCAGACATTAACTTTATAATATAGAAGACATGTGTATGAACTTCGATTAAATTTACAGTCCACACATCAAGATGAACAGGATGGTGAGGCAGAAACAAGTCTTCACACAGTGTAAGCGGGCTTCCAAAAGTTGTGAAAAAATTGAGTTAAAAGATAATGAGCTACCTAAAATGAGGGGGCAATAAAGGTACAAAGTGATTGGCTTACAAGTTTTCAAGAGGAAGTTTAGTTTAAGAGTGTGCAAGGGGGGAGAACAAACAAGATGGTAGATCTGGTGGCAGTGCAGTAAAGGAGCTCCGCCAACAACAACACAAAATACCCAACCAAGCAGACTCAGGGGATGGTTCCAAAACTCTGAACCACATAGAAAGGAATATTTAGAAGGTTGGAAGGCTCACATTAGGGGAATTTGTGACAGAAGCAAGAAATCCATTGCTTTCTAGTTCATGATGCTCAGCTGCTCCAGGAGCCGCCATCTTGTGTGAGACCAAGCAAGGGAAGGATCGGAGGAGCCACAGACGCCTGGCAGAACCACAGAGATAATGGTGTGGACATTCTTTTCTTTTGGTATCTGTTCATTGGTCCCTTGCTGTCTGCGCACCTCCATTCTGGTGACTATAGGGGTGCCTGAGCTAGTGGACACCCCAGCCCCACCCTCGGAGGCTTCTACTATGCAAGCGCACAGATATACTTGAAATTTAAAGAGACAGTTTCCAATTAAAACCAAATGGCCACAGCCAGCCCTGAACTGTTTACAATTAGAAAAAAGGCCTGAACGGGGATTGTGGAGTGGGACAAGCAGACAAAAAAAGGAAACAGGCTGAAAATTAAATCCTAA